ATCTGCTAATTGCTATTCCTCAACTTATTGCCTTCATCTTTCAACCCTTTTCATTTCTTTTATGCATTTAATGGATGTATACCACGCTGTAGGAAAAAAAACACTGAAATCAAAAGAGGCTTAAAAGTTAAATAATAATTTAATAGTTTCCCTTTGAAACAGAACAATCTGAGAGCCTCCAAATGCACTATGACTGATATCCTTGGCAGTTAATGGAGATTAGAAGAACATACTCAATCACTCTGAACAACACAAACTGCTGTCAATTTTGACACTTAAACAGTTTGAAATTGTAACTGTTTTTTGGCTGGTTTATACCCATAATATTAAATTTAAAAATATATACTACAAAAAATTAAAAAATAAAAATAAAAACATATAATACATAAAATATATTTGACCCCACACCAAAAACATATGTCATTTAAAAATTCATTTGTGCACAAATCATGTATTTTTTTAAAAAAATGATGAGAGAGAGAAAAGAAAGAAGATTTGGCTCATTATATCCACAATGAAGTAAGGAACACTAATGCTGTATAAAGTTTTTGATCAGATGAATGCAATTTATAGAATCTGATGAAGTTCATCTTGAGATAAACTTGCAGAATTATTCATATATAGCACATCAAGATATCTCTAGAACCTCAAAATCAATGTAAAAAATTATAATGATGTTATACATGATTTTTTTTTGTTGGAAATAAGGACTATTCACACTTGCAATGTGTTATTTTCAGAAAATGGATTGTAAATGAGTCAAATCTTTCTTTTCTCCCTCTCATCATTTGGAAATAAAATGTGAAAATTATAAAAATAAGCCAAATTGATGTTTAAAATGAAAAGTAGAATTACCGATATCATTGTGAAAGTAGATTTTTTTTATACCCTAACACATAAATTTCCTCCTACACCTTAACATATAATAATATGTACTTAACATATACTACATAATGTTCTAAACCTGAAATTAATGTTATATGTCAATTATATCTCAATTTTTAAAAAAGAACAAAAACTTAAATTAAAAAACATAATACATAAAATAAATATATTTGATCCCTGAGCCAAACAATATATTAACGGCCTTTAAAAATTTATTTATGGGCAGATCATATATTTACTTTAAAAACAGCATGAATCACTTACAAAATGGCAAAAGTAATAATGTGCTAAAAAATTATACACATTAAAATAAAATATTTAATAATATTCTAGTCTAAAATATTACTTCTACTTCAATTTACTTCTTTATATCATATAAAACTAATGGAATGATTAAACTCCTAAGGAGGTTTTCAAGTTTATAGCTGTATAACTGGGAAACAAAATCACAAGACCAAAAAGATTAGGGATGGGGCGCCTGGGTGGCTCAGTTGGTTAAACATCTGACTCTTGGATTTCGGCTCAGGTCATGATCTCAGGGTCATGAGAAGGAGCCCCATGTCAGGCCCTGGGCTGGGCTTGGAGCCTGCTTAAGATTCTCTCTCCCTCTCTCCCTCTGCCCAACGCCCGCCCCCCCCACACCGCCGCCCCGCCGGGTATGTGTACACTCTTTAAAAGAAAAAAAAAAAAAGATTGGGGAGTTTTGATCTAGAGAACTGTTTGTTAACTACTATTTTTTTCCCCTATCTGTAACAACATTCTCTATGATCTGGAAAATTGTTTTTTTTTAAAGCCTAAACAGTCTTAATGTTTATCACATGAATTAGTCTGTTCAAAGAAATCTGTTAGTCACAAATTTTTGCCTTTGCAAAATCCCTCCTGCCTTTCTACCATGAGAATGTACTTAATAAGATACAATTTTGCTGAACTTGCCAGATAATTTCCATTCAAGCAATCCACCTATTCTGTGGCACAGTGATCATGTTTCATATCCAACTGTTTTACCAACTAGAATGGTTAGTGCTATTCTATTTTGATTTGTCCATTAGATCCAGGAAATCCTGTATATTTATTGCTGTTTACTTTATTCCGAGGCTTAAGACTATACCCTTAACACCACAAGGCAAATACATGCCAGTTATCATAAAAGAAATAGGAAATGTGGGTGACTTAGCTCAAAATCCTCACCACAATGGGGTGGTACCCCTATACCTTAAAATACTTCAAGGTATAGGGGTACCTGGGTGCCTCAGCTGGTTAAGCATCTGACTCTTGATCAGGTCATGATCTCAGGGTTGTGAGATCAAGCCCCACACCGAGCTGCAAGTCGGGCTCCACGCTGGGCGTGGAGCCTACTTAAGATTCTCTCTCTCTTCCTCTCCCTCTGCCCCTCCCGTCTACACGTGTGCACACTCTCTTTCTCTCTCTCTAAAAAAAAATAAATACCTCAAAGTATATAGTATACTGTAGTGGGTTAGTGATATCGAGAATTGTTGTATATTTAAATATCTTTGACCTGATTGCATTAAAAGACTATAATAAAGTAGGAAAATTCCCCGAAACAATAAGGATGAAACAAGGAAGTCCTTTTCATCATTTCTGAGCAGTTTGTTTGAGGTGATAATCAAATGAGCTCATTGATTTTCCAGATTTTTTTGCTTTTAATACATTTCATATAATTTAGAACTGATTTTAGAATCATTTACTCTTTAAGTCATTTTTTGGCTCATCTAATATTTTAGTTGTATCTAGCTTTATATACTTTGTGAGCTTTCTTATTTATACTTAATATTTAACATACTTGTAAAAAATGTAAGTGTTGCATCACTCACCGATAGGCACCAATATCTCTAATACAAAAGGCTAATTTAAACAACTATTAAACTAAACTGACACAGAAATATAACTGGTCTTTACATCTTTGGTTTCCCATGAGTCTATTACACTATAAGTGTCTAGACTACTTTATATCTACCACTCCCTTGAGAGCCCTCCATATATTTCCATGTCTTAGCAGTTGCACAAATCTCACTCCAGGAGACTTAATATAATTATCCCTATCACAATTCAAGTAACAGCCAAAAATAAAAAATGATCAATTTATAGGAAAAATGACCCATAGCCACTTCCTCTTCCATTCAATGTCAGTTCTCACCTATTTCAACCATCAGTACAACTGTATTCAAAAAGATGAGAAAGATGATGAAGTTTGTGAAGAGAGGACCTGTTTTCTCTTAAGGAAACATACGGAGTGGAATTCTTTCTTATACAGGTGAAATAATAAGGGCAAGAATAGAACCAGTGAGGATCAGAAGAAAATGGGAGTTTGGAAATGGGAAAATCAGTCTTCAGGCAGATGATGAGGCAAGAGAGACAGTTAAAGGCATGGGATAAAAATGAGGGGCACGAAAGGATACACTCAAGGACCCATCCAGCCCACAAGGAAAGAGGTGGCCTCTGACTGTAGCGCACTTGAAGCCTGCTCATCAACCTCCGGCCATGTGTAATACGTTCTACATGTCGAGGCTTTATGGAGAAGCGTACAAGCTGGTGTTGATCTCCCAACATAACCTTCTTCTGACTGGGAGGATCTACACCAAAAATTAAAAGAGGACAGTGGATAAATATAAAGAGAAATCTCTGGGGGATAGGAAGAACAGGCAGCACCAGGGGCAGGGATACTGGTTACATAATGGGTCCTCTAGTGCAGAGGCTTGCCTTGCTGTTCTTTCTCACAGCAGTTAACATTAGTTTGGAATAAGAGCTACTATATCACTTATGACCAACACTGTCCATGCCTAAGAATAAAGGCAGCAGGTTCAATCCTCAAAGTTTTCAGTGTCTTTCGTAGAAACTTCCAAGTCAGCCAGGGCTAGTAGTTATCCTAAGCCTAAAAGTGAGGGGCATGGGTTCTACCTCCTGGGTTCAAAGAGCTTTATTCACAAAGCCTTTGATTTATCAAGTTTGATATCATTTACAAACTAGCAACCAAGCCAATTTTCCCTGAATTTTTCACCCTTAAAATAGTCTCTCTGCTTTCTACTCTTTGGAGGGTGTGGTGAGGAGTCTTAAATTTATGCTAGTTAAGAAACAGGCTGCTGACCAACTATCTCTCGGATAGTGTGTCGTGGCACAGCTTGGCTCAAGCCTTGCAGATGCTCGATGAGAGAGAAAGTATCAATGAGACGTGAACGAATGGCATCAGCTCGGGGCAGTTGCACGTGTCCTGTTGGGTGACTGGTGGCCATGTCTGTTAAAATAATGGAAAAACCAAGTGTCATTTCATTCTTGGAGAGGCACGAAAGATTAGAGGTTTATTTCCCCTTCCACCCTCTTTGCCCTTAAAGAAGTCAAACACATTGTACCAAGACTCCAAGTTTTTTTTTAAACAAAAGGCGCTAAGAGTCGTAAGAGAGACATTGCGCAGTAGACTAAGTGGCCAGGCACCTTCACTTGTGTGACAGCGTTGCTAATTAAAAGTAGCAGTCACAGGGCAGGAGTCCCGGGGCTGGACAAAGAGGAAATCGGAGCAGCACCTGGACCTGAGGTAATTGGGCAGTGCAATGAGGAGGGGCAGTGGGAGGACTTAGGGCTGCCTCTGAAAGACAAACCAAGAGGACAAATTGCAGCAGTCTGACATTTGGAAAACGTGTCCCGTCCCAACTACGTCCCTCGGGTGCAGGCTCCACCTCTCAATTCCCGCTTCTGGGCCTCACCGCAGCGGAGGCTCTCTTCCGCCCACTCAGCCCTGATTTCACGTCTCCGCCTGCGGCTCTGGCGCCCCCAGAACTCAGCTCTCCCCACCAAAGATGAGCTCAGGGTCTGCTCCCAGCTCCGCGGCGCCCCATTTCTAGCTCGGCCCCGCCCCGCTCCGCTCGGCCCCGCCCCGCTCCACGACACTTGCTCCCTGGGTTCCGGGTCGCCGGCGGGCCCAGCCCTAGCCCCAGCCCCCGGCCCAGGACCCCTCCCAGCCCGGCTCTCCCCGGCGCCCGCCGCCTCGGTCCCGCCCCGCGCTCCGGCCACTGGGCGGTTACCAGCTGGTCCCGCCCGCCCGACGCAGGCGCCTCGCAGCCAATCGGCGGCTGCCACACTGCGGCCCGAGCCGGGCTGGGGGGTTGGGACCTCCGGCTGCAGGTCCGCCTGGGCCAGACGCGCGAGCGCAGGCACAGGGTGAGTGGTTGTGGCCGGCCTCCGCATCCCCGCCGAGCCCCCGACCCTCCCGGCCGCCCCTAACCTTACCTCGTAGCCATGCGCCCCCGCTGCCGAGCGCTGTTCCCCGGCGTGGCGCTGCTTTTCGCCGCGGCCGGTCTCGCCTCTGCCTCCGACGTGCTGGAACTCACTGACGACAACTTCGAGAGTCGCATCTCCGATACAGGCTCTGCGGGCCTCATGCTCGTCGAGTTCTTCGCCCCTTGGTGAGGCCATTAAGCCGGGGCGCGGGAGGGAGGGACGGCTGGGCCGGGGGCGAAGGCGCGGGAACGGTTGGGCCTACGCAGCGCTGGCGCCCTCCACCATATCAGCAGGCCCGGCTGCAGCCGGCAAATTTCCTACCCCGGGTGAGCCGAGCTGCCTCGGCAAGAGCGGAGAAGTCGGTGCTGATCGCCTGGGAGCGAGACCCGGGAAGAAAACCCGAAGGCCCCGCTCACGTAGGGCCACATCCTTACCTCGTTGCTCTTGCGGCACTTCCTATTTGCTGAGGGTTTAACCACCCCCTACCCCGCTTAGATTGGTATCTTCACTGGCTGAGTCAGTGTTAATGCTCTCCATCCGACAAACAGTATCTTTACAGTCTCTGGCTGAGTCAGTGTTAATGCTCTCCATCCTACAAACGAGGCATCCCAAGGCCTTATATCGGAAGCGAACGTTTCATCAAGTGCAGAGAGGAGAGGCCCTGGGCCCCCAGAGTACTTCCTTTCTTCTTGCCCCACGCCCCGCAGCCATTGATTTCTAGCCAAGGTCACTCAGTGGCTGCAGAATGGTCATAAATGCTTTCTTGAGGCCGGGAATTATTTTATTCCATCGCATGGTGCACACTTTCTCCGTTAAGCTGATCCCATTTCAGCACCGGCGGAATCCCGTCAAAAAGAGCAGGTGAAAAGAGAAATGCCGTCAGAAATCTGTCTGAAGTGTCGGTTTTAATTAGGAAGAATGCCCAAAAAGACTCGAGTGAGAAAGTAATCAGTGTGGGGAGAAATAGTCCACTTCAGGGTGGTATAACTGAACTAGGGTGTGAATTCCTTAGGATACAACTAACTCAAAAATTTGGGGGTAGGGGGACAGAGCAAATAGGATTTCTGACTCAGTAGATCTGAATGGTTTTTTTGGTCTGTTTTTTGTTTTGTTTTGTTTTGTTTTAACTCCCAAATCTTTACCGCAGAGAGCCATGATTATTTTCAGGCTTGGGATGGTTCAATATATTCATGCTGATTACAGTACTTAATTTTTTTCCTCCTGCCACAATACCTTTAATTAAAAATGATTTGTATTCAAAAGTATCAGTAAAACAAAGTTGGTGTATAACTTTTACTTGCTTCCAACTCTGGTCTTTACTCAGCAAGGGTTCAGCCACCGTGCTGGGGGTAATACTAGAAGAAGTCTGGTAATGAAGACCACCTGAACCGGAGAGATGTGCTAGAGGCAACAAATTTTGTTTTCATCTTGTGACAGATTTTATGTGCAGGCATTCCTGTGGCCAACTGGTAGTACTGATTACACATCACAGGTGGTCTTTCCTTATACATCTGCAGAAGTCACATTCCATCTTAGAAACTACTCTTCCCAATCATATAACCTTGCTGTTAACTTTGAAGGGGTGTATTTAGAGTGGCTGGATGGGGTTGTATCAAAACTGGGTGGTGCTTCTGTGACTACAGGGGTCTACTTTAAATTGTTGCATGTGCTTCCCTAAAAACTGCATATCCCGTCATGCACTAAACTATCCCAAAAATTGGGTGGATCCCTGCTGTGGTGTCTGCTTTTAATTGGTCTAGAAGGTAAGGTAATCCCCCACAATGCCGGCAAGCAGGATCAGTTTTCTGAGTGACTAATTTGGAATCAAGGAAGTCTCCTGTTGATAATGTCTTTATTTCTTCACATTCAACTATTTTTATTTATTAATACTTCAGCTAGAAATGTTTTCTGACTGCTGTAATCCTTTGTACAGATCAGAACTAGCTCACAAGTTAGATAGGAACAATTAATCCAATTGAAAGTAAATTGACCTATTTTGAGCAAGTTCTTCATCTCATTTGTTTTTGGGTATTTTTTGCACTTTCGTTTTATAGTGAAAGTGAAAAATTTCTTTGCATCTGACTTTGTAGACTCATTTCCATTATGGAGCCTATCATCTGTGTAATTTGTAAGAATGGGAGTATATGAATTTCTCTGGGGAAATAAATAGCACTGTTTAAACGTGATAGTATCTGAAAATTTATTGATCAACGTTAAGTAAGTTTTAAGTCCTCAACATCTACTTATGTTGTAGATTTGTGCTTTAACCTCTAGGACAGTAGTATTAAATGATACTTGATATACAGTGTTTCTGGAGTACATATAGAAAAAAAATGTGTGGGGGCACCTGCGTGGCTCAGTCGTTAGGCGTCTGCCTTCGGCTCGGGTCATGATCCCAGGGTCCTGGGATCGAGCCCCGCATCGGGCTCCCTGCTCCGTGTGAAGCCTGCTTCTCCCTCTCCCACTCCCCTGCTTGTGTTCCCTCTCTCGCTGTGTCTCTCTCTGCCGAATAAATAAAATCTTAAAAGTATGGATAGTATAAAATGAAATATTTCTTTTTATACATGCTAATTCCTTTACTTGGAATTTCTGATGTATCCTCCCACCCCAAATTGATCTTTTCAACAAGATTTAGCTCCTTGGACAACTAACTGGTTGCTCCCGCCTCTCATTTGGGACCTAATATTGTCTGTCACCCCTGCCAGACTGGTGTTCCTATAGGGAAAGGACTATATCAGTTTTTCTGTCAGAGACTTTCCTCACAAAGTAATGATTGTTGATTGAATGTATGTTGGGATTCATTATTACTGCTAGGTGCCATCCCTGAAGGTGATGGAATTGTTCTTGTTTTAATACTATCTCGGACTGGGTGAAAGAAGTAGTGGTTAATCTTGATGTTCCTCTTCAAATTCCACCCGGGTTCCATTCCTGGTGAATCTGAAGAAGGCAGTCTCTTCTAGTCTCTCTGGAACTCAGTAAACCGGTCCTTCCTTTGGGCATTTGATGACCTTATGGAGGCAGCAAATGCTTAAGGCAGCGGTTTTCAGTCCCAGCCTTGATACTTATACACATATCTCCCTTACACCCTCGGTTTCCTCCATGGGTATTTTTTATATGCATCTGGGTTGACACCCACTGGTCCAGTCTAATTATTTTATACTATTTTTTTCAGTTAAAATATTTTGAGATGGTTGAGGTGAAACTATTCTTAAATCTGTTGCCTCAGCCTTCTTGATAATTAGGTATTCAACAGAAATCTCTCTTTTTCTTTTTTATTCCCATTGCTGTCACTCTGGTCCAAGCTTTCATTATCCGCCATGTGAGATATATTGTCTTCTAGGTGGCTTCTATTTTTATCTCTCCTTTCCCACTTTCTGTTATATATATTGCTGACTGATGTAGTCTCAATACACATAAAATGTTTATTGTCTCTTAATAAACAAAGCCCTCCAGTTCTCCAAATGTATCATTTTCAATAGCAATTTTACCTTTGCTGTACTATTGCCCTTATCTAAAATACCCCAGGACAGGTCCTGGCTGAAGCCTTAAATTCTTAAAGGCCCAGATCCAATTCTTACTCCCTTTAACTTTTTTTTTTTTTTAATCTTTGAGCCCTTATGTTCCCCAAAGCCTGAATTTCTCAGATAAATTGGTTATCTTATTAAATCAGTTAGGATTTGTGTGTTTTTGTTGCAACCCAAGTACACGAGTTTTTAATTTATTTTGCAATCTAAGAGGAATACAGAGGATGTAATGAATAATATCATATTCCATATACATGTAAGATGCCACGGATTGGGAGGGGAATCCTTATTTTATGTCTCACAAAGAAGGAAATCCTACCGTTGAAACTATGGCATGATTGTAGGGCACATGCCAATTTCAGATATGGTAAAATGTGCATCCATGAAATACAGTATAGGGGATACCATTTATTCACCACCTGGTCTAAAAATTAAAGCCAGTACAGTTGAAGCCTATACATCCCTTCCCCGTCTTATGTACACCCCCATCCTGAATTTGGTGTTTATCATTTGATCCTTTTATACTTTTGGTAAATATGTATGTGACACTAACCAACATCTAATATTAGTCTTTTTTATATCACCATTCCTTCATTTAAGCTTTCTAATGATTATTTTTGAATAGAACTCCTAAAGACCTTAAAGAGTATAAGCTCTTATAGTCCTTTGTTTTAAACACGTTTTAGGGGCAAAATGTTTCCAAGTTATTTGCCCATCACTTAATAAAATAAATTTTGAGACTATTGGCTATGAAATATATAAGGTTAAGTTTCTTCCATGTTTCTTTCTGTTTTCTAATTCTATTTTTGCTATCTGTGGAGAGGTTACAGGACTACTTTACCTTCTCAGAGTGGTCCCTCTGCAACCCATTGGGTTTTGAAGAGATGGCCTATAGCTGGTGCTAGCTATATCTACATGGATAAGGAGGAGTATGTCCCCTCTCCCGCATCACATATACAGTGTGCCTGTGGGCCTGTTAGGACTTCCCAGGCTAGGAGCAGGTGTTTCTTATGGCCCTCGGAAAATACTCCAACTGACAATGTTTTATCCTCATCAGTTCTTAGGGCCAGATGAACTGTGTAGCTGTAAAAATAGGGCTTGCTGTCTTAAATATGTCATTCTAATGCTGTGTTGAAACTCAGCTGAGAAGAAGAAAAGGCTCCAACAGCTGCTAAAGTATCTAGCAAATGAGTGCCTTTGGGGCCTCATTCTGCTCCCCCCTCAAACTGGGTTTTTGGACAAAGGGATTCCTATTGAAGGAATGGAGAAAAAGTACTTGGTGAGTTTTAAGGATTTAATATCATACTTGGAACCTTAGAATGTTTCAATCACTGTATTTTTAAGAATCACAGTGTAGTTTCTTAAAAAAAATGTGCTTTCTTTTGGGAAGTGCTACCAGAAATGGGATTGCTGCTATCTTGCTCTTCATTTTGTCCTCATTAATTGGTCCAATGGCTTGAGCCCTTCCCTCTTTAATGTGGGGTATAATTCTGACTATAGTTTTCAAGGCTCAGTTATACTTTTAACTGAGAAAATGGATGGCTCCTCTGAACTATGCTAGTCCTAGCATCAGTCTCAGGTTAGGGATAGTACCTTTGCCCTCTGAGAGCTCTGGTTACTTTATCAGTAATGGATGTTGTTCGGGTGATGTTTTTGCTTTTGGAAGCAGCTACTAGTTTAAAAGTTGTATTATAGTTTGAGATTCGTCCTAGAGAAACATGGTTAACAATCTTGAAGGATTAAACTGAGAATTTGGCTTTTTTTTTTTAACGTATTTATATAGGTGTGGACACTGCAAGAGGCTTGCCCCTGAGTATGAAGCCGCAGCAACCAGATTAAAAGGAATAGTCCCATTAGCAAAGGTGAGTCTAGGCAGATTCTTCATTATAGAAAATAGGATATTTTCCATATGATCTCACTGATGAACACATGCAAAGGGGGAAACGAAAAAAAGGAGAGAGGGAAACAAGCCATAAGTGACTCTTAAGGGTGGAGAACAAACTGAAGGTTGATGGAGGGAGGTGGGTGGGGGGTGGCCCAGATGAGTGATGGGCATTAAGGAGGGCACTTGTGAGGAGCACTGGGTGTTGTACGTAAGTGACAAATCACTGACTTCTCCAGAAACCAATTTTTTAAAAAGATTTTATTTGTTTAGAGAGTGCATGCATGAGTGGGAGGAGGGGCAGAGGGAGAAGGAGAGAATCTCAAGCAGACTCTGCTAAGTCTGGAGCCTGATACCAGGCTGGGTCTCCCAACCCTGAGATCATGACCTGAGCAGAAAGCAGGAGTTAGACCCCTCAACTGAGCCACCCAGGCACCCCTCCAGCAACCAATATTGTACTGTATGTTAACTAACTAAAATTTAAATTAAAAAAAAGAAAGAAAATGGGGTATTTTAAATAGTAGTTTGTAAAATTAACATTCATTTTCTCTACTCTTACAGTACTAAGAAGAGAACGCTAGTTTCTGGGCAAATACAAAACTGACTATTGTATTAGTTATGGTTTCTAAAGATTAAAAGTAGTAAAACTAAGGGAATTACTGGAATAAGAAAGAGGTAAAATATATGGTAAATAAGAATTAAGGGGCGGGGCGCCTGGGTGGCTCAGTCGGTTAAGCGGCTGCCTTCGGCTCAGGTCATGATCCTGGGATCCTGGGATCAAGCCCCACATCTGGCTCCCTGCTCAGCAGAGAACCTGCTTCTCTCTCTCCCTCTGCCTGCCACTCTGCCTACTTGTGCTCTTTCTCTATCTCTCTGTCAAATAAATAAATAAAATCTTTTAAAAAAGGGGGGGGCAAATATGGAAAGTAAAAGTATAGTAGTCAAGGTCAGAGGAAAATTATTGAATAAATGAGTTCCCTAAACTTCTTTATGATATTCATAGTGATGGGAATAGGAAAATGACAGGATGTTGTAAGTATGTAACTAGCTGGTCAACTATAAACTTAGTATTTGCTCTTAAAATCATAGTAATGATTTTACTATGGGTGGCATGCCTGGGTGGCTCAGTCGGTTAAGCGTCTGCCTTTGGCTCTGGTCATGATCCCAGGGTCCTGGGATCATGCCTGGGTGGCTCAGTCGGTTAAGCGTCTGCCTTTGGCTCTGGTCATGATCCCAGGGTCCTGGGATCAAGTCCCACGTAGTTGGGCTTCCTGCTCAGCGGGGAGCTTGCTTCTCTCTCTCCCTCTCCCTCTGTGTGTGCTCTCTCTCTCTAGCTCTCACTCTCTCTCAAATAAATAAAATCTTTAAAAAATTAAAAAAAAACAATCATAGTAATGCTTCTAGAGTTTTGCCATTATTCTATAGTAAACCCATAGTTGCTGCAGTATAAAAGCTCACATCTTTGGGTACCTGGGTGGCTCAGTTGGTTAGGCGTCTGACTCTTGATTTCAGCTCAGGGTCATGAGATTGAGCCCCACTTTGGGCTCTGTGCTGAGTGTGGACCCTGCTTAAGATTCTCTCCCTCTTCCTCTGCCCCTCCCCTCACCCACGTGCTCACACGCTTGCTCTCTCTCTCTCTCTCAAATAAATAAATCTTTAAAAAAAAGAAAATTCACATCTTGGTCAGCCTCAAATAAATAGTTCATACATATATAGGACTGTTTTTGGAAACTGCTTTTAATCCTGATGTTTCTCTGGCTGTTTGCCTTGGGGAAAAAAGAAAGTTCAGTCATGATTTAATTCCTGCCTTGTGTAGCTATAGCCTGTGTTTCTGTGAACACATTACTTTTCTACACCTCCGTTTATGTTAAAGCATTGGGACCATACCTCAGAATCTTGTGAAGAGTAAATGAAATAACATGTGCAAAGTGCCTATAGCACTGCCGACTTTAGAGTAAGTGGCTAGATAGGAATTGTTTTCCTTCTTCCTGATAGTAAGTCTCTCTAGGTAGTTCATATTCAGATTATCTCAGGGAGCATATTCAAGTATTGGTACTTTGCTAATAACTCTAGATGATTTGCCAAATCAAATTATACTCTACGCCACCGAAAGGATATGTACCTCCATCCATCCATCCCCTTTATAATAATCATTATCAAAGAAAGATATTGTTAGTAATTTAAGCGATTTATCCCTCACATATTCTTTTTTTTTTTAAGATTTTATTTATTTATTGGACAGAGAGAGACACAGTGAGAGAGGGGAACACAAGCCGGGGGAGTGGGAGAGGGAGAAGCAGGCTTCCTGAGGAGCAGGGAGCCCAGTGCGGGGCTCGATCCCAGGACCCTGGGAGCATGACCTGAGCCGAAGGCAGACGCTTAACTGCCTGAGCCACCCAGGCATCCCCCTCACATATTCTCAGGCAGAAGGAAGGTGGAGACCACTGCTTTAAATAATAGAGACTTTGAGGGAAGAATTTAAATAGTCATTTGTGCATTTTGTAGGAGGTCCAGCAATCTAAATTTTAACCAGTTCTTTAGGTGATTGTATGTAACTAGCCCAGCACCAGTCTGCCTTTAAAATATATGTTCTGTGGCATGTGTGCAAAGAATTGCTTGATCCTCTTATGATTTGAGCAGTCTTAATATTTTGGGAATATAGGAGGAGCCTGCAACAAATACGTGGATAACAGATGGTTCGTGTATTTTAATCTTTAGGTTGATTGTACTGCCAACACAAACACCTGTAATAAGTATGGAGTCAGTGGATATCCAACCCTGAAGATATTTAGAGATGGTGAAGAAGCTGGTGCTTATGATGGGCCTAGGACTGCCGGTAAGGATCCTGGATTACATTTAGGAAACTTAATTTGTTAAGTACCCTGTTTTTGTAGTGGGAACATGACATTTTTCTAAACAACATACTTGTAATCTTAAAAATTCCTCATCTAAGGGGCACCTGGGTGGCTAAGTCCTTTGGGCATCTGCCTTTGGCTCAGGTCATGATTCCAGGGTCCTGGGATCAAGCCCTACATCAGGCTCTCTGCTCAGCGGAGAGTCTGCTTCTCCCTCTCCCTCTACCTGCTGCTCCCCCTGCTTGTGCTCTGTTCATCTCTCTCTGTTAAATAAATAAATAAAATCTTAAGAAAAAAGGAAAAAAATTCCTCATCTAAGAGGTCTGTTTAGTATCTAACAAAAGACTTCGCTAAATAAGCAGATTATGTAAGTAATGTAGAAAATACATGAACTTGAGTTAGAAGGTCTACTAGGCATTTTTTCAATTGACATATTTACTGAGTACCTAGACTCTGTGCCAGATGTTTTAGATATACTAGGTGCTCTGTATTTATTGATAGAACAGACAAGTTTCCTACTCTTATGTGCTTACATTTTGGGAAATGAAGAGAAGAAGACAACAACCAAGTTTAAAAGTATATATAGATAACTACTTTACATCCCAAAACACACACACACAACAGAAAATAACAAGTGTCGATGAGGATGCAGAAAAATTGGAACCATTTTGCACTGGTGGTGTAAATGTAAAGTGGTATAGCTGCTATGGAAAACAGTATGGAAGTTCCTGAAAATTAAAAAAATAGAATTACCGAATAATCTAGCAATTCTCCTTCTGGACATATACCCCAAAGAATTAAGAGCAGGGTCTTGAAGATATATTTGTATGCCCATGTTTGTAGCTGCCTTATTTACAGTCGGAAAAAGGTGGAAGCAACCTAAGTGTCTGTCAGTGGATAAGTGGACGTACAAAATGCGGCATATTATTAATAGTAATATATAAACGTATATATAATACAGTGGAGAATATTCAGTCTCAAAAAGGAAGTTCTGACATGTGCTACAACATGGATGAACCTTGAAGACCTAAACCAATCATAAAAGACAAATAGTGTGACACTGCGTCTTATATGAGGTTCATAGTGGTAAAATTCATAGAGACAGAAAGTACAATGGTGAGTCCCAGGGACTACAGGGTGGAGAAAATGGGGAGTTTTTTTAATGTGTAGAGTTTCAGTTTTGCAAGATGAAAACAGTCCTGGAGAGTGGTTATGCAATAGTGTGAATGTACTTAATGCCATAGAACTGTATACTTAAAAGTAGTTATGATAATAAATTTTATGTATATCTTATCACAGTTAAAATTATTTAATTTCATATATAAGATAAATTCAGTTAGTGGTAAGAGCATTAAAGGAGAAAAATAAAACCATTTATGTGCTAATGACTGGGTTTGAGAGTACCACATCATCAGAGTTAGCAGGGGCTGTAACCTTTGAGCTGAGACCTGAATGATAGGCATGAGCTAGCCTTGAGAAGATCTGGGCCAGAGCCTTCCAAGCAGAGGGGAAAGACTCTGAGGTATACAAAGAGGCCTTAAGGTATAACTGAACTTGAGTTCAAGGGATAGAAAGACCATGTGGCTGGAGTATGATTAGCATGAATAGTATAATTCCTCTTAGATGAGGAATTAGCAGATGAAGCTGCCTTTTTTTTTTTATTTACATGACGGGGGCTGGGGAGATAGCGCAAGCAGGGAGAGCAGCAGAGGGAGAAGCAGGCTCCCCATTGAGCAGGGAGCCCAATGTGGGGCTCAATCTCAGGACCCTGGGATCATGGCCTGAGCTGAAGGCAGACGCTCCACCTACTGAGCCACCCAGGAGCCCCAACAGATGAAGTTTGAAAGGCAAATGGGGACTGGATCCTCTAGGGCCTAGAATTGATGAGAAAAAATATTTTGGACAGTTTTGCCCTGAGTCTTTCAAGTAATGACACACATTTTATTTACCTTTTCATGATGGAAAGCTGAGAGAAAAGGGGTTCAGTTAGGTATTTTAGGGAGGTGGAATTTTTTCAGTCTGCATGATTGTTACTCATATACAAAGCTCTGCATAACATGACCACTACCTAACTCTTGTATCATCTTAAGATTGTGTCACCTTAGGACCTTTGCCCTGGTTATATTCCCAGCCCAAAATGATCTTCCCCTATGTTTGCATGGCTTGCTCCTTTTTGTCATTCAGATCATGGCTTAAATTTTACCTCCCCGAGGCTTTCCCAGGCCACCAGACCTAAAGTAGCCACCCAGTCATTTTCTTATCACATCATCCTCTTAATTCTCCACATAGTTTTGGTTATTATATCATTTTGTAATTGTTTATTTGGAGATCTTGTTTATTATTTGGAGAGTTAAACTGTAAGCTCTAAGAAAGCAGAGACCTTGTTTACTTTATTTACTACTCTGTCTCCAGCACCTAGACTCTTCACATGCAGTAGATACTCAGTAACTCTTCGTTGAATGCATGGAAAAATACTTTGATTCCACTGAGGTCATTTAGCCAACACTTAAAATTTGATATGTCTAAGCACAGAAGGAAAAAAAATTTTTTCTGAGCTTAAAAGTATTAATGAAGAACCCCATGTTACCATTCAGATTTTATTTGTTCAATTTAGGATGGATTAGCGGTCCGAATTATTGAAATGTTTTTCTAAACTTGAGCGTGCCTTAACTAAATTGTAGGTGAACCCAATTAGACTGCTACTGGTCAGATGCTGTCACTTGGGCTGTAACAATAGATTTCTTAAATTTAAGAATTTCTTAGTAACCGACACTTCTCATCATAGCCACAGGTTAAAGTTCTTTATACTTTATATCATGATATAGTAATAATAATTCCCTTAAAGACTAAACAAATCATATTCAATTTCAATTAATCTGTTGATGCAACCCCTCCTATGTGAGGAATTGAGGAAAATATTTAAAAGGAAAAATGTCCCTGACGGGAGAGAGAAGGAAGAAACATTAGAAAAAATGCAGAATAGACTCAATCATGTTGAAAGAGTTGAATAATACTCTGTCTTGGCCAGTTAACAAATCAGTAGAGTACTTAGAAGAGAAAGGGGGTGCAAGAGGTAGAATACTATGGAGGAGGAGCATTGCCTTTGTCTGACCTGTGGGCATTTTGAGCCTGTGAATGGTTTTAGTGGACCCCAGAAGTTTAAGGGATAAGATGATTTTTTGTGTTTTCTAAATTGTTCTACTTATCTAGCCCATTTCACGTCAGTAGGAAAGTGTGATGTAGGTGGATCCTGTACATGGCGTAACTTGACCTATATATAGTTAAAACCTTATACTAGCTATCGAAGTTCATGCATTTTCTGCCTTTAAAATGTAAGGCTACAAGTGACTGTTTGTGCTACTTGAGAATACAGGATTTGCTTACTTAATTTATTTGTAAAATGGATGTTTCTCAAACTTACATGCTAATAAGTATTATTCTAGAGCTAGATTTATATCACTGAGCAAAACAGACAAAAATCCTTTGCATTTGGAATTTACTTTGTCATGGGAAAAGATAGATGAAAATAATTAGGATAAAGTATTAATTAAGTGGGTGAACAGTGCTATAGAGAAATATAAAGCCAGGGAAGGGAATTCAGGAGCATTGGAGGTGAATAGGTTTTAGTTTACAATGGGATGGTCAGGGAGAGCTTCTTTGAGAAGATGACATTTGAGTAAAGACCTAAAGGAGGTAAGGAAGGGAGCCAGGAGGATATCTGGGGACAGTGTTCTAGGCAGAGAGAATAACTTGAACAAAGGCACTATTAATTTGTACTGTTATAAACACTTTAATAAATCCCTGGTAGGGTTATCAATACAGTCTCTTTGAGGAGGTATTTTGACAATTATAAATGCATGTATTCTTTGACCCAGTGAATCCACTTCTAGGAATTTACCCTACAGATCTACTCAGTCATGTGCAAAATGACATTAGTACAAGGTTGTTTATTGCAGAATTATAACAGCAAGAAATTGTTAACAAATGTCTATCATATGTATCTGGTTGAATAAGTTATGGTACATTCATACAGTGAAACACTATGCAGGTATAAAAAAGACTGAGGTAGCTCTTTATGTACACTGGTGTAAATTCTCTAAACTATATTAAATGACAAAAACAAAATACAGAATAGCATAGTTGTATGCTGCCATTTGGGAAGAAAAGAAAGAAAAGAATAAATATGGAATTGCTTGTTTATGCATAATATGTCTGTTTTAAGGATTATATTTTTAAATAATCTCCATACCCAACATGGGGCTCCAACTTATAACCCCAAGATCCAAGAGGGACATGCTCTGCCACCTGAGCCAGCCATATGCCTCCCTTTTCAACCTTCTGAATTTTGAATTATGTGAATGATTGCCTTCTCAAAAATTAGAAATTTGTGTTGCTATCTTTCATTTTATCTTTTAAGATGGAATTGTCAGCCACCTGAAGAAGCAGGCAGGACCAGCTTCAGTTCCTCTCAGGACTCAGGAAGAATTTGAGAAGTTCATTAGTGATAAAGATGCTTCTGTGGTGGGTAAGTAGCAAATATTTGATTATACAACAAAACCATCAATTTGGTTTCAAAAACCCTCTGTATCTGAGTAAACAACAAAGTTAAACCAGTTTAGGAAGCCTTGGGGACAGTTGAAAAGACAGCTCCTAGATTTAGGTCAGCATTACTATAATGTGGAAAACTGGTTTTATTGGAATGGCTTTGTGTTATTTGGATGTAATTTCAGTTAAAGACCCAAAATAGAAATATCTTCAGCTTTTTCTATTGCATCTCAAACTCAGAGATTTAACTCAATAGGGTAGTTAAGACTGAAAATAAGGTTTTAAGGTGGGAGGATACTAGTAAATAATAAACCTCTGTGTCTACTGTTCTCACAGTAGTAGGGGATTTAGTTCTTGAGATCAAATTGCTAGGATTTGTGTACTTTGCTTTCTCGGGTGTTACAGTATTTCATTTTATCCTTAAAATAACTTGCAGTTAAATACATTCTACATCTTAAGTGTTCTTTCTTTTGTTTTTTTTTTTTTTAAGATTTTATTTATTTGAGAGAGAATGAGAGAGAGCACGAGAGGGAAGAGGGTCAGAGGGAGAAGCAGACTCCCTCCTGAGCAGGGAGCCCGATGTGGGACTCTATCCTGGGACTCCAGGATCATGACCTGAGCTGAAGGCAGTCGCTTAACCAACTGAGCCACCCAGGCGCCCTTTCTTTTGTTTTAAATGTAATGTATAAGGTAGTTGACTTAAAAAATAAATTTAAACATATAATCTGTGTTTGTGCTTCTCTTAATCTCATTATAATAAAACTGACTTTCTGGCAGTAGAAGATGGTTTGTAATTTAAATTTGACTAAAAGCCACTTCTTATTGTCTGGATTTTACCGATTCTGTATATTTTCAAGGAGTTAACTACAAGCAGACATTTAATAAACACTTAGGTTTCAGTCACTTTTCTAGACTTGAAGTTCTGACAACAAGTCAAAAAATACAGTGAAGTAATTGATGGTTTATTTTGGCAAACTGTCTTATTGGATCCTTCTGACACCTAAAATAGTCCCTGAAACTCTAAGAAGTTAAGCGGTTTGCCCAAATCTAATTGTGAAAAACTAGAAAAGGCTTGAACTCTGACAAATCCTCTCCCTTGACTCCCTGGAACAAAAATTTTTTTTTTAAGCGTAGAGGGAAAATTCTCATCCTAAGTATTTTGTCAAATATCCTAGGTAGTCATGGCAAAGCAGACCCAGTCCTGTTACCTGTCTCACTTTGCTTACCTGTGAATAGAATGAAGGTTTTGAAAATAAAAGAATTTTAGGGGACGCCTGGGTGCCTCAGTTGGTTAAATGTCTGCCTTCGGCTTGGGTCATGATCCCAGGATCCTAGGATCAAGTCCCGTATCCAGCTCCTTGCTTGGTGGGGAGCCTGTTTCTCCCTCTGCCCTGTTGCTCTCCCTGCTTATGTTCTCTCTCTGACAAATAAATTTTAAAAAATCTTTAAAATAGAATTTGAAAGTTTAATTACTAACTGTTTCTTCCTTGTGTTTGACATTTTTTGTATAGGTTTTTTCAAAGATTTATTTAGTGAAGCTCACTCTGAGTTTCTAAAAGCAGCCAGCAACTTGAGGGATAACTACCGATTTGCACACACCAATGTGGAGTCTCTGGTGAACAAATATGATGATGATGGAGAGTAAGTGACTGAATTGAATACCCTTGTAAATTTCTGGACCAAGTACTAATTGTATGAACTGGTGACTTTTATGCCTAGTTCTTCCGAAAGATTTATTAAGCTAAGTGCTAGGAACTATCGCTACCTTTGCGATGCCTCTAGTAGGGGGAGACAGTGAAAATATTTAAAAAATAAGTGTTAAGCGAGCATTGTAGGTGTTACAATAGAAATGTATGCAGGGTGTGCCGGAAGAACAGGGAGTGATTTTTTTTCCTTCGGGGTCGGGAGTAGTATCAGAAGAAACTTCATAGGGGACGTGATTGTTGAGGTGTGTCTTGAAAGATAAATTTTTCCAGGCAGGTTATTTCAGTTGGGGTAAAAATTATTCCAGATAGGGGCACCTGGGTGGCTCAAGAGCCATAAGCATCTGGCTCTTGATCTCAGCTCAGGTCTTGATCTCAGGGTCGTTAGTTCAATCCTCACGTGGGGCTTCATGCTGGGCTGGAGCCTCCTTTAAAAAAAACATCATTGGGCACCTGGGTGACTCAGTTGGTTAGGCGTCTGCCTTCAGCTTGGGTCGTGATCCCAGGGTCCTGGGATCGAGCCCCGTATCAGGCTCCCTGCTCGGCCAGGGACCTGCTTCTCCCTCTCCCTCTGCCACTCCCCCTGCTTGTGCCCTTTTGCTCTCTCTCTATCAAATGAATAAATAAGATCTTTAAAAAAAACTTTATTCCTGGGATGCGTCGGTGGCTCAGTTGGTTACACGTCTGCCTTGGGCTCAGGTCATGATCCCGGGGTCCTGGGATCGAGTCCCGCATTGGGCTCCTTGCTCAGCAGAAGCCTGTTTCTCCCTCTGCCTGCTGCTCCCCCTGCTTGTGCGCTCTCTCTTTGACAAGTAAATAAATAAAAATCTTGAAAGAGAGAGAGAAAAAAAAAGGAAGGAAAGGAGGAAGGGAGGGAGGGAAGGAACAAGGGAACATTATTCCAGATAGAGCAGCAGAAGTGAAGGCCCGAAGATGTGAAACAACTTAGGAATGTTGAGCCCTGTAGTACTACTGGAGTGTTGTTTATAAATGAGGTGATAGGGAAAGGTAAGCAGAGACCAAATTATAGAAGATTTTAAGTGCATACAAAAGAATTTTGATTTTCTCTTTTAGACATGTGAGAGTCATTGAAAGACTTTGAGCGGGAGAGTAATGTGATTTTTGTGTTTCAGAAGAAAAGTTGCTGGTACCCATGTGATGATGGTTTGAAAGGGGAGGAAAGGCAAGGCATAAGAGTCCAAACTAAGGGTGACTACTGAGAGACTAAATGAAGGCAGCATTTAGGGGCATGGAAAAGGAGAGAGTATACAAAAATATAAACAATAGGATTTGGTCCCTAGCCATGTGTGAAAAAAGGAAGATCTAGAATGAATCTAGGTTTCTGTAACTTGGATGACTGGGCCACCAGCAGTCATCATCAAGCTGGGAAAAAGATGAAGAGAAACAAATTTGAAGGGATTGATGATGAGTTCATTTTGGCCTAGTGAATGTAAAGTTTGTGAGATGTCCCAGTGAAGACCCAATAGACAACTGGATAAATGAGGTTAGAATTCGGGGAAAGTTCTAAACTAGAAAGAAACCTTTATAGGTCGAGCACCTGTAAATAATTATTGAAACCATGAGACTAGATGAGATCACTGAGGGTGAGCAAATAAAGAAGACGAGTGTGCCAAGGGCTAGTGTTACTCATTTATATTTAACAAAATATGTAGTGTTTACTATGTGCCATTTACTGTTGACTTATTTAATCCTCTTAACAACTGGTGAGACAAATCTGTTATTATTTCATAGAGGAGAAAGCAGTCAGAGAGGTTAAGTAATTTGCCTAGCTTCACAGCCAGTAAGTGGCAGAAATAGGATTTGAAACTAGAAAGTCCAGATGCAAAGTTGTAGGTTTGACTGCCTTTTACATTAAGACACACCAGGTCTGTGAACCGTTGTGGAGCCCCCTGTGGCTCATTAAGCACATCACAGATCAGTCTGTTAACCTTAGATGTGTTCATTGTGGCTGCCTTTAAAGTGGCCTATCAGCTTCTGATTTGAAATCTTATTGAGGGGCGCCTGGGTGGCTCAGTTGGTTAAGTGACTGCCTTCACTCAGGTCATGATCCTGGAGTCCCCGGATCGAGTCCCACATCCGGCTCCCTGCTCGGCAGGGAGTCTGCTTTTCCCTCTCGTGCTCTCTATCTCTCATTCTCTCTCTCAAATAAATGAATAAAATCTTAAAAAAAAAAAAGTCATGTGTACACCAAGGCTGCAGCATCATTAAAGATTATATTTGAAACTGCTGGATTTCTATCTTTTTGAGAATAACTGCTCTGAAGTTGGTAACTGTGCTAAAAAAAACCCCCACAATATTAGCCCTGTTCACATTTTTGCTTGCCCAGCATGTTTGTATTAAGTCCCCTTTTGCTATGTAGTTTCCCTGTGTTCTATAAAATACCTGTGTTTTTTGTTTTTTTTAGAGGGGGTGAGGGGAAGAGCAGAGGGAGAGGGAGAAAGAGAATTCTCAACAGACTCCCTGCTGAGGCGGAGCCGGAGGCAGGGCTCAGTCTCCCGACCATGAGATCGTGACCTGAGCCAAAATCAATAGTCGGATGTGTAACTGACTGAGCCCCCCAGATACCCCTAAAATGCCTGTGTTTTAATTGACATGAAGTCAGTGGTTAATACCAGAAGAGTGAGAGAGGGATGTAAGGACCTAAAGGGCTGAAGCCTAGACAAAAACAAGTGATAAAATTATATGTGGGTGGGGGCCCCTGGGTGGCTCAGTTGGTTGAGTGTCTGACTCTTGATTTCAGCTCAGGTCATGAACTCAGGGCCATGAAATCAAGCCCCATATCGTGCTCCACACTGGGCATGGAGCCTGCTTAAGATTCTCTCTCTCCCTCTGCCCCTCCTGCTTGTGCTGTCTCTCCCTCTAAAAAAAATTGTATGTGGGTGTGTGTGCAGTGTGGGGAGGAGGAATGAATGAAGGAGAACTTAGAGGTGGGAGTTTAGTAGTTAGAATAGTGGTATTTTCTGAGAAAGCTGGCACTTGATATAAACCCATGACTCGGAACCAGATTGGGGCTCAGTTTTAGCTGAACAAGGCTAAAAATTAAAGAAGGAATTTGCTTCAAGTGTTCAATGGAGTGAGGAGAGCCTGGCTTAGAGGGGCAAAATAGTATCAGCAAGAGAAAAATTGTTAAACTCCGTTTGTTGGGATAAGAGAAATATAGAACAAGGGAATTTCTAATGAACTCAAGCTAAACATTATCTATAATTGTATACCTACCTATAGAATTTTATAGCTGGAAGAAATCTTAAAAGATATTTTCTCTACTGAAGTAATTCTTTTACTATGTGGGAGAGTTGAATTTTCAAGGGGAGAGCCAGGCAAGGTACCTTCCAATAAGAGTAAGCTCTATTTTATTGTACATCCTGGGATTTGAGGGTAAGTTGGGTTCTGTTACTGTTTTTAAAGGTTTGGAAATTAATCCTCTAACCTCCTTAAATCCCCTTTTGTACTGCAGAAAAAGCTGAAGCCCAAAAGGATTCAGTTGATACCTAGCACAAGGTCTTTAAAATTAGTGGGGTTATAGTTAGAACCAAAGTCTTCTAACTTTCCAATGCAGGGTTTATTAAACCTTCATACCCCATTATTGCACCTGAGATTAAGGTGGTTAGCACCTTAGCTTTGATGAGGTCATGTTGCCAAGTCTTCGGTCCCAGGAAAGAGTCCTTATGTGGTTAAATGGTGATAGTAAAAATGACAGCAAGAGTCATCTGAGCTTTAAATAAAAGATGGAAGATCATTCTGCTGCTGCCTACCTACTAATAGTTTTGTTTTTTTTTTTTTTTTGAAGGGGTATCACCTTGTTTCGTCCTTCACATTTAATGAACAAGTTTGAGGACAAGACTGTGGCATATATAGAACAGAAAATGACTAGTGGCAAGATTAAAAAATTTATCCAAGAGAACATGTGAGTACCTTTTTATGATCTTGTTTGGGATTTCTTGGCTTCATTGTAGTTTCCTTACCTCAGTTAGTAAGCAGATCCATGTTTTGGATTAAATAGCCTTATTCAAGGGATTGAACAATAATAGTTGAAGTTTATATTAAAACAGTAATGTGTGGACCCTAGGACTCCTTAGAAGGTATATTGTTCAGTACTTATTCTTTACATTGAAAGTTTCTTTCCTTTATATGTGCTATCTGTTACTTTGTGATAGTTCCATGACATAGCTAAACCTGACAGTTTGATAATGGATTATTTATTTCAGTTTTGGGATCTGCCCTCACATGACAGAAGACAATAAAGATTTGATACAGGGCAAGGACTTACTTGTGGCTTACTATGATGTGGACTATGAAAAGAATGCTAAAGGTTCCAACTATTGGAGAAACAGGTAATAAGGATCATTTTTCCCCTTAGTAAATAAGTTTACTCAGTGTATAAACAGTTTCTTCTATTAATCCTGTTACAGTGTATGATGTGAGAGCCAATAAGAATGGGAATAGTTGACTCCCAAAAACCATTTGAAGCTGTAAGGACAAATAACATAAACTATTTCCAAAATCTGTTGGGCATATCTTCCATAGGTGTTCCTTTGCCTTGTGACATAGCTGGTTCCTAACCTCCCAGTAAAAGATGCAAATATGATCTAGAATATAGATATTAAATATTTAAATATTAATATTAAATATTTAAAATGTTAATTATTAATAGCTCTCATCAATTGATAATATTAAATATCAATTACTATAATTATTTAATATTTTAATAGTAATTAAAATATTTAACTTAATAGAATATTAGATAATGTTAAATAATAATATTAAATACTTAAAATATTGTGCCTATTTGTCCATTGAAACTTTTAGTGCATTGTATCCTTAAATTTTCTTTTCAGGTCAGTCATTGTGCCTGCAATATTTTAGTTATATAATATAGCAAGATTCAGTAGGAATGGACTATTTGATTGGTACCACCAGTTTGGCAGTGACGTTCAGTAAGACATTGGCGTGTGCCATCATTCCGTGTCAGTGCCCAAGAACACAGTTCAGACTGACTCCAGAGGGCTCCATGGACTGTAAAATCTAGTCTTTGCTTTCTAAGCGTGTTGCTGCTTGAGTTTAGAAGTGCTTTACCACTGTGGTATAAATCTTGGCATAAATATTTCGTTTCTCACAGAGTGATGATGGTAGCAAAGAAATTCCTAGATGCTGGAAACAAACTCAGCTTTGCTGTAGCTAGCCGCAAAACCTTTAGCCACGAACTTTCTGATTTTGGCTTGGAAAGCACTGCCGGCGAGGTTCCTGTTGTTGCTATCAGAACTGCAAAAGGAGAGAAGTTTGTCATGCAAGAGGAGTTCTCGTGAGTTACAAGTTAACGTGGGTTTGGGATTTGATTCTGCAAAGAAACTTAACCTTGTACACTACAAAGGATTTATAAAGAAGAACATTAGAATGTGAAGATAGGTCTTCTAGCTAAGACCTATGATTGTCATTTTTCTCAATTAAACTATAGGTATTTAAGGGGGAGCCTGGGTGGCTCAGTCGTTAAGTGTCTGCCTTTGGCTCAGGTCATGATCCCAGGGTCCTGGGATCGAGCCCCGCGTCGTGCTCCCTGCTCCACGGGAAGCCTGCTTCTCCCTTTCCTACTCCCCCTGCTTGTATTCCTGCTCTCACTCTCTCTCTCTGTCAAATAAATAAATAAAATCTTAAAAAAAAAAAACTATAGGTATTTAAGGATAACAATCCTTAATAAATTCTGAAAACTAACAAAAGGATAGCAGCTTGGAATACTTACATGATTGTTTCCACCCTGCCATTAGAAATAGTAGATAGAGAACATTGGATGGTCTCTTTGAGATTGATGTAATTTCAGACCAGTGCAACCCCCTCCCATCCCTGTAGAATGTCTTTTCTTCTTGGAATACTACCCTGGCCTAAGGTAAACTTAGGGAATGGAAAGGTCTTAAAACCCCGGAAGAGTATGACTGTTCACCTTCTGAGACGTTGGGAGACCAAAACCAGAGAAAATCTTCATTGTGAGCAAATCAGTAAAACAAGATATCATAAATAGGCGGTATTCTCCAGAGCAACGAAGACCTGGTTCTTTTGCAGAAGTGAATTTCCAGAAGACCAGTGTTTTCTTCCTTCTCTGATCTTTCTAATTCACAAAGAACACACTAGAAATATAAGGAGGTGGTTTTTGTTCAATCAGTAGATCTGCGTGTTGAGAGATAAGCTTCTCCTGTTTTTAGCTTCCAATTTCTAACCTTGAAATTGAAGCTAGAATATGTAAAAACTATTCTAAGAAATTGCTTTTAATCCTCTCCATCGAAGATTAACAAGTCTGATCCTTGTCTTTGCAATTGCAGACGTGATGGCAAGGCTCTTGAAAGATTCCTGCAAGATTACTTTGATGGCAACCTGAAGAGGTATCTGAAGTCTGAGCCCATCCCGGAGAGCAATGATGGGCCGGTAAAGGTGAGGAGTTGACAGCCTCATCAGGGCTCTAAGCAGCTGCCTGTCCTCGTCTCCCCCTGCTCTCCCCATGCGCTCTTAGTTTTATTGAGATATAATTGACTCTCCTCAGTTCTTTATTCCAAAAAATGCTGGGTCTAAGTGAGACCTTTTTGGCTATCATGTTTTTGTTTTTGTTTGTCCTCACCTCCCTGTGTCATAAAATAAGCATTGGCAGAGCTTATAATGCTCAGTAGGGGCAAAAGTATAAAATCTTAGAATTTTGGATGGTATTTATATTAGAACTAAGTTACTCTTCGGGATAGAGCAAGCTAACCTCTAAGAATAGTTTCAAAATTGTTGCTTTGAGATTAGGGAAGGGTTGGGTGGTACTTACTTCCTATGGCTTCCTGAACAAAGTTTGACAGGTGACAGACATGGGAGTGAGTTGGTTTCTGGAAAATCACCAGAACATCTTTAATACAATCTGTAAATGTGATTTGGGTTTCAATGACATATTTTCAGTGACAATACATCAAATTTGAGAGGGTTTGGGTCCAGAAACAAATATAGCTTGTGATTTTTATTCTTTACCTTGCCTTACCAACTAGAGGATCTTTGGTGTATTCCAGGTAGTGGTAGCAGAGAATTTTGATGAAATAGTGAATGACGAAAATAAAGATGTACTGATTGAATTTTATGCTCCTTGGTGTGGTCACTGTAAGAATCTGGAGCCTAAGTATAAAGAACTGGGAGAGAAGGTAAGTCTGAACTATATTCTGAAGATAAAATTTGAGTTGGGAAGTTGACACATGTATTCAGCATTGGCTAAATTAGTTATCCTAATTAATTCAGTACCTAATTCTGGTAGATTTCTTTTCAGCTGTTTACTTTCTCCTAACTGCCCCCCTAGTGTCTCTAGTCTGTGTAGTGCCTCAGACACCTGTTCTGACTTTCCACTCCAAAGACTCAAATCTAGATTGTAGTTAAGGTATACAGGCTTCTGAATTTTGGTAATGGCTTATATGAATCCATTATGTTTCTCTTGAGTTAGCCCTTGTACTGTCTTATTTAGGCCAGGTAATTTTGAAGGTGGCTGTAAATAGAGTCTTACTATGGAGAAGCCAAGAGAGAAAAGAAATACTGTACAAATAAAGCTAGATATAATGTACAAGTCTCACTGTTCTTCCTATCTGAGCAGAATTATTCAAGTGTTTAAAAATGAGGTTATTTTAAGTGCTGATTTGACTAAGTGTCCCTCAGTCACCAAAAAATGAAAGTTTAAAGATCTAACCTTTTTATTAACAGCTCAGAAAAGACCCAAATATTATCATAGCCAAGATGGATGCCACAGCCAATGATGTGCCTTCTCCATATGAAGTCAGAGGGTAAGTAGATTAAAAGCTAATAAAAGTGTCTAGATAATTGATAGGGAAAACAATAAGCTTGTAAACCATTTATTGGGCATGGTTTAGGGAGTGGATCCCTCATTGCAGTTGAGCACAGAACTACTGATCCGGCTTGGAGTTCTGCTGCATGGGCCCACATGACTGCCACAGATTTTGTGAGCTCTCATATTACCGAGTTTTTTTTTTTTTTTTAAAATTTTTTTTATTTATTCAGAAGAGACAGAGAGAGAGAGGCAGAGGGAGAAGCAGGCTCCCTGCTGAGCAGGGAGCCCGATGCGGGACTCGATCCCAGGAAGCTGGGATCATGACCTGAGGTGAAGGCAGATGCTCAACCATCTGAGCCACCCAGGCGCCTCATATTACCGAGTTTTGATAGGATGTAACCTAGCCACTGATAGAGAATAGTATCTGGTCAGAAATAGAAATTGGGGTGCCTGGGTGGCTCAGTCGGTTGAGCATCCTGAACTCCTGAACTCTTGAGTTCAGCTCAGGTCGTGATCTCAGAGTTGTGAGATTGAGTCCTGCATAGGGCTCCACACTGCTTGAGATTCTTTCCCTCTGCTCCTCTCTGCCCCACCCCAGCCCCTCGTCATGCTCTCTCTCTCTTTCTCAAATAAATTTTTTAAAAAGGAGAGAGAGATCACAAGGGGCGCCTGGGTGCTTCAGTTGCTTAAGCATCCAACTTTTACTCTATTTTCTTTTTTTTATTTTATTTTATTATGTTAATCACCATACATTACATCATTAGTTTTTGATGTAGTGTTCCATGATTCATTGTTTGCATATAACACCCAGTGAGCATCCAACTCTTGATTTCAGTTCAGGTCTTGATTACAGGGTCGTGAGATCAAGCCCCAGGTCAGCTCTGCACTGGGCATGGAACCTGCTTAAGATTCTTTCTCTTCTTCTCGCTCTGCCCCTCTACCCCTGCTTGTATGCATACACGCATGCTCATCTCCCTCTCTCAAAAAAAAAAAAAGAGGGTGCCTGGGTGGCTCAGTCGGTTAAGCGTCTGCCTTCAGCTCAGGTCATGATCCCAGGGTTCAGGGATCGAGCCCTGCATCGGTCTCTTTGCTCAGCAGGGAGCCTGACTCTACCTGCTGCTCCCCATGCTTGTGTTCTCTCTCCCTCTGTCAAATAAATAAATAAAATCTTTCAAAAAAAAAAAAGGAAAGTAGAAATAGAAATCATGAGAAGTTATTCCCAGAAACAGTTTTTGGGGAAGAGTATGTTGGAGTTATTCCGGCACCTGGAATGAGTTAACGTGTTTTTGTTTTTTTTTAACCCAGTTTTCCTACCATCTACTTCTCTCCAGCCAACAAGAAGCTAAATCCAAAGAAATACGAAGTAAGTGCGTTGTCTCATCTCCCCACAAATATACACATACACACACATATCCAGTTCTTTGAGTTTTATTTAACTGGAAACTTTCAATTTCATGGTCAATATATGTTGTTGTTAATGTGCTTTTACAAACTCAGAAGTCTTCCTATTGGGGAAAAAAATCCGTGGTTCTTTAAAAGGTTAAATTTTCAGAGTGATCTTTCTGTTTTCAGGGTGGCCGTGAATTAAGTGATTTTATTAGCTATCTACAACGAGAGGCAACAAATCCCCCTATAATTCAAGAAGAAAAAACCAAGAGGAAGAAGAAGGCGCAGGAGGATCTCTAGGGCAGCAGCGAGAAATGCCACTTTGTGAAAGGACTCGTCCACCAGAGATGGGAAGACCATTGGGGAGGACTGGGACCCGTATGGGATTATTACTCTCAGGGCAGAGAGGACAGAATGGATATAATCTGAATCCCGTTAAATTTTCTCTAAACTGTTTCTTAGCTGCACTGTTTATGGAAATACCAGGACCAGTTGATGTTTGTGGTTTTGGGAAAAACTATTTGTGTTGGGGGGGTGTTGTGGGGGTGGGGGGATTGAATTGGGGGGTTATTTTCTAATTTTTTTTGTACATTTGGAACAGTGACAATAAATGAGCCCCCTTTAAACCGTCTTTTTTCCAGGAGATGGGGAACCAAGGTTTTCTAGATCAGCACTGTCCAATAGAACTTTCTGCCATGTTGGGAAAATTCTATAATCTTCATTGTCTAATACATGTAGCTACTGAGCATTTGAAATACGGCTAAGATTAAATATGATTTAAATAGTCACACATAGAGCTAGTGGCTACCATATTGGTCAGTGCTGCTGTAGACCAACTAACTGGATCCATAGTTATTACCTGTAAATCCTTTCCAAATTTCATCACTTTTCTATCCTTACATGTTAGGGCCCAGGCCCCTAGCCTGATGATTAGAGCAGGTGAGGGACCTTTCTTTTTGGGCTTCGTTTCTGGCCCTGCCCATACCCTAAGGTTGGGTTACTGTTTACCCTTGCCATGCAGCTGAGCATGTTTATACTTCCCAAAGACTAGTCTCTGCCTAAAAATGCCCTGGATGGGTGTGGCATCAGGTTGGGGTTCCATCCAAGTTGTTTCAGGAATTGCTGACACTGCTGGGTGCATTTCTCTCCCCCCCAAAGCACAGGGTGTGGCCCATTAATTTCCCTCTCCAGTGGAACTGGGAAAGACAGTATCATTCCTGGTTGTGAATGAAGCATCCACTTTTCTTCTGCAACAATGAGGAACAAAAACGATAGGATTGATGTGATCTTTTGTTCAAATGAATTTCCCTCTTTTTGTGGGTAAATCCAAATCCTATCTGCAGTTAAAAGTTTTCAGTACTGGATAATTCCAGATAGGAGCCCTAATTGTAGGTGATCCTCAACCTCTATGTTTTGAAAAAGAGAACTTTATTCCTTTTGTAATCCCTAGCTGTCAATTATAAGATGGATTTGATAGAGCCTTAATAGCAAAATATATATCAGGATCATCCTTAGTGCTTTGAAAAAGTAAAGATGCTTAACTATAACCTTGAAGGTTCTAATTCATAAGACCTCGGCTGGGATCTGGGGAATTAATTCTTTAGAGAACCCAAGAAGTGGTTCAAATAGACATTCATGGATAGAACTGTTACCTTGAAGTTAAGGAAAACATATAAACTTGTACAGAGGACACAGAAGCAAACAGTTTTCATTTTTCAGCCATGTTTGTAAAAGAATTCACTTTCAGTACAAGGGGAACAACCAAGCCCTTTCCCATTATATCTAGGTGTATTACAAGTTATTTTAGCTGTTACCAAAAGTTCTCATTACTGTTTCTTCAGGGAGGCTACCAGGCTAAATTCTAACGTTCTCAAGGTATCTTGTCCTGGAAATGGTGTCATTTCTCACGATTTGAAAATGACTTGGCTGAACTAAAGATGAAGAAGACAAGCCTCTACTACTCTTCCTATTCTCCTGGGCACAGCTGTGGAGTGTTGGCACTGGGCCCAAACCCTAAGAAGTAAAATATGGCAACAATGAAAGTCAGACCTTAAAGAATCTAAAAGTTCGACTCTCGTACTTGCCACCATGGACTCAGCAATAAGAGCAGACAGTTGCACTCTGTGTAGTTCATAGCTGCTTTGTTCCTTCATATCTCACTGAGCAGAGAGAGGGTAAAGAGCCCTCTGACAGCTTCAGCTGCCCCTGTTCTTTTCCTCAAACTCCAGGATGAGACCTTTAATGTGGGACAATTTCTGATGCAGGTACTCACAGCGACGCTTTTCTTCCCTATAACCTGGGTACCGCTGCAGAAGAAAAGCATCCATGTCAAAAAAAACAAACAAAAGGATCACCTTTTTGCTACCATTCCCAGACCTTGTCTTACCTTCCTGAACTTTCTATATTCCTGGACTATTTTTTCTTCCAGTACCTGAAACAAAGAAAATGCTAGCACCAACTTTAGCCTTGAGGAAAAAGCTCCAGTAAGAAGTAATTTCCCATCTCATTCTACTAAATGATAGAGGTTAATTTTTCTCTCAAAACTGACTTGCTTGTCAGTTGGGTCACTGTACAGTCTTAAGGGCAATTAGCAGGGCATTTATGGCCAGTAAAGCTAGAAAGCCATGTTGGGTCCACTCCTTACCTTGTGTTCTGGAGTTCCTCGCTGAACTCTCTTGATCTCAGCTCCCAGCTCTATGAACCTTTGGCTTGCAGCCCCAACACGAGCATGTAGGATGCGGTATTCAGTATAATCTGTCTCAAAGTCCTGCTCATAAGCATGTTGCTGCTCCGCATTGTGGATGGCTCTGTATTGCCTGCCAGGAAGCAGAGAGTTGCCACCTTCAATTTCATTGCCCTGAAAGCTTCAAGCTCTCAGGAAGTTTATCTTAATATCTCCTATGCACAAGGCTTGATAAAATTGGAAGTAGCAGGAGACTCACAGGAGGTAATCTGGTACCTCTTCAGGGCTTGGGGATTCAGAATCTGGGAAGGAAGCAAGATGACACAAAATTGATCATATAGGTCTTTTTTCCACTAGGGCAGTTCAGCTCTTTTCTCATTGACTCACCTGCTTGAACGGAGGGACTGTGTTCCAGCCTGGGGCCCATGTCATCCTTAACTTCTTGTTCCCAATCTTCTGCCTCTTGTAGGTCCTGACTGGGCAGCCCTTGTAGGGGACTTGGAGCTAAAGGCAGAGTTCTGAGTCTCTTTTCTTTTAGTCCTAGAGTGGTTGTAGGTGCTGGACGCTTCTGTTGGGAAAAATGTCACATAAACAGTAACCCAGAAAGCCTAGTCTGCCTGACTCTTGAAAACTAATTTCATAGAATGAGCTTTGGGAGCATCACAATGAAGGCTCCTAATTTTAAAAATTTTAGCCTGACTGGACAAAGATTTCTGAAAAACCCTTGCTATTACAACTTACCTTGTCCAAATGTTTCTGGCCAGCAGAGGAAGGCGGTGCCTGGTCAGGTTCTCTGTTCAGAAGATAGGTCTGGTTTCTGGGGTATTTGAAGAGGGAATGGGAGATGAAGACCAAGATCTCTTACTACAGCCTTTAGGGTGGAGATTAGAAGACGATACCAGGGATTCCCAGCTTAGACCCACCCTGTCCCAAGTACCTCACTTCCCACTGTGTCATGTGTTCCCTTGAGGATCCTGGGAGTGACTGTCCTTGGCTGCTTGCCAGTGGATCTGGCACCTGGCAGGGAAAGTGGCAGGGGCACTTGGCTCCCTGGGCTTCAGGCTTTGCCCCACCTTATTCCAGCTACCTGCAGTTTCTGGCCTCACCTCTTTTAGTGCCATCTGTGGCTGTGAAACTGTGTCTTCTTCAGAATAGTCTCCTGTGTTCTGCCAACTCTCAGGATCTCTGGCACTGTCAGTCAGATTATATCTCTGAATTGTAGATGGGGCTGGGATGGAATCCATGGCTGCCCAAATAGTGAGGCGCTCCCTGAGTGGGCCCAGGCAGTGGAGGTGGTTAGGTCCAGATCTGGAAAGGGGTGGTGGAAAAATCCCAGGAGGATGGAGAACTTTTAAGCACCTCTGAAATCAGCTTCCCCAACTTTACACAAACCCTTTTTGCCTGCTACCTGTTCCCCCTTACCTGCCTAAGCGTTGGCACACAAGGTCCAAGCCACCTCCAGAGCCCTCCTGGCCACACTGGGACACTATGAAGGAGAAGAGGCAGGACCAGCCAGGGCCTGGGAACCTCAGATACTGAGGGCAAAAAGAGAACCGTAAGTCCCGTGAAGTCAGCCCCTCCCTCCCATTGCCATTCTTCCCTGAGCCAACCTAAGAGTGAAGATGGGTCCCACGGGGCTCGTTAGTACACCAGGTGCAGCTGGGCTTGAGTTCCCCAGGAGGCTGAGACAGCACAGTCGCCTTAACCGAAGTCTCCTGGGACCACAACCCTAGCAGCCCCCTCCGCCCCACTTGGGGGTTCAGTTCTCGGAACTTCCTCAGACCGTGACTGCTCTCAGCCTTCCGCCCTGACTGCACCTTCCCGGAGCCCACTTCTGTTCTGCCCGCACCCCGCCTTTTTCACACACTCTAGGCCCGTACTTACCCCTCGGTTGCCTTGGAAAGCGATCACGGGCCGAACCTGCGGGGAGAGCAGATGCGAGCTGAATGCAGGTGAAGTGGCATTCCCACCATCCGGCGTCGGGTGCCCAGGGGGTACCTGCCTCGCCGGCTTCACTTGGAGAGGTGGGAAGGTCGGAGCCTGCGGATGCCTCTTCCCATACCCAGGTCCCCTCGCCAGGGTCACCGGCTGAGGCCCGAGATCCCGAGGGGTAGAGGCTAGGGAAGACGGGTCCCGGGGTCGGCCGCACCTGTTGCCGCCGACATTCTTGCAGCGCCCGCAACGCCGCGTCGTTCAGCCTGAACAGCAGGAGGCTGGTCCGGGCAGCGGGGGTGAGGCAGAGCTGGAGCTTCCCACTCATAAGCTCCTGGGGTCCCTCCATGGCTGCGAGGTCGAGGCGCAAGCCGAACAAGAGCCACAGGCAAGGGCCACCACCGCCACCTCTGCTGTGCAGGGCTAGGGTGGCACTCTTGGTAGCCCAGGTCGGCCCCGCCCTCCGTCGGGCCCCACCCCCGGCCCCACCCCCAGCCGGCACCACCCCTGAGGTTTCCCAGCCGCGTGAGCGGTGCTTCTCTTTCCCCTAGACTTTTGCGCGGACCCACCCCACGGGTTTCTTGGATGGGCACGCACCAATTTGGGCTTTCGGAAGAGGCTATCGCAGTTACAGGGGGAAAGTCTGCGGCCAACTTTACCCCTCCCCAGTTTTGCCTCAGTTTCCCCAGCGAACCTGAACTCGGAGTTGCCGTATCTAAGTGAAGCTGTACCTGCAACCTTTAGAGGGATTTAGACGCAGAGGGGCGGGAGAGGGCCTGGTTGCTGGGCTGGCTCAGTAGAACGCGCCTCAGAGGCCAAGAGCCCCCCCCCCCCCCAGGGACTGGAGGATGGCGGACCCGAAGGGATATTTCTGACGACAACACCTGGTGAAGCGCTTTCGCTTTTTCCCTCCTGCAGTACTGCTGCGGACCCGAAGACGATTTCTAACTGAGGCTGGAGAGAAAATCAGGCCAGGTGGGTGTGAGGCAGCGGTGAAACTTGGTTGTCGCTGGCTGAAGCCGACCCCTCCCACCCCCACCGGTAGGCGGGGATGGGGGGGTGTGGGTGGTGGCAGGGGAGTTGCAGGGCAAAGGGAGGACTCAGTCCCAGGCCAGTCCCTGGCCTATACAGGTGAGACTG